AACCGGAATCTGTACAACGGCCTAAATTCTGACCATAAATGACCGAAATTACACCGATCTGGCCGTCAGCGATGGCCAAAGATGGCCGTCGTTTTGGCCTTTTCGGTCGTCGACGGCCATAACAGGCCGTAGATCTGGCCTTTTCCGGCCAGATCCGTGGTGGATCTAGCCGGAAAAGGCCATATTGATGCGTTACGACACAGATCCGATCGGTCTGTGCCGTAACGAAATTTTCCGGTCAGATTCCGACGGTGGCGGTCAAAATCTGACACTGCAGGTGGTGGGGGTGTTTTTGTCATTTTATATAATAGGGTCTTTAATTAAATTAATAAACCTAAGGGCTTTTTCATAAATTTTTCAAATTTACCTCGTAATACTCCCCTATCCAACAATCCAATACTATCTTCAGAATACTATCCAAAATACTACACCAAATGCACCCCAAAATATGTCACATCCCAAATATGTAAAACTCTATCTCAGTTTATAGAAAATAATTTATATATTTTTCTTACACACACTTTAATTAATCTTTCGACGTTTTAGAACTGTCAATAAGAGCGTTAGTGACCACCTTTATTAATACTTAAAGGAATTCGAATTTAAAAACTCATGAACATCTTTTTACTCTTTTATCATTAGATCACCCAATAGTAATTAATAATTTATACATTGAATAATATTATTTATGATATATTGTGTTTAAACTACACAAAATATTTGAGTAAATGTCATTGCTTGAGATGTTTGTTTGTACCAAATCCACTCAAACAATGAGATATTTTCTAACCCTACAATCACTAAAAAAATATTCACTACTTTAAAGTGTGTCGATGGGCTTTGTCGACGTTGCCTGTGCAATGTTAAAAGTAGATATTGAGATAGAACTTATGGGCTCCGTTTGGTTCAAGATTGAGAATACTACTCTTGGTATTCTCAAAAAAGTTAAACGGTAAAATACCCAAAATCTCTCATTTTTTAGAATACTATTTTCAATATTATTTAATTTTTTTTAAACCCTCTAAATTTGTTAATTTAATTAAATACCCCTAAATATTTTTTTTAAAATTACAAAAACACCCTAACAATCCACATTTACCAGATTCCGGCCACCACTACCGAAAAATGGCCGGAATCTGGTAGGATGGCGCACTACCGGTTGAATCTGGTCGGTAGTGCGCCGATCTAGCCTTTTCCGGCCAGATCCACCGACGGCCAGATCTTTGGCCGTAACACTCAGTCACGACGGCCAACAAACGGTCGTCGTTGACCATCAACGACGACCGTTTGTTGGCCGTCGTTGAGAGCAAATACGGCCAGATCTGACCGTAGATCTGGCCTTTTCCGGCTAGATCCACCGTGGATCTGGCCGGAAAAGGCCATAGCGACGCATGACCGGCAAGATCCAACCGGTCATGCACCCATACGGCGACTCCGGCCACCTCCGATGGTGGTCGTCGGCTGGGGGTGTTTGAGGGTGGATTAGGGGTATTTTTGTTAACTTTTAATGTTTTATTATAGGGGGTATTTTGTAAAAAAATAAACTTAAAGGGTATTTTATTAATTTATAAATTCTACATAGTAATACCCGCCCAATTCAATTTTTTTTTAACTTTTTTCAAAAAACTTTTCCCAAAACCCCCAAATTTTGAACCAAACGGTTTCATGCATACTCGAAATGAATGGTATGTTCTGCGAGATTTCTTATATAATTCTCAGTCCCTTTTGGAGATTTATACAGTTTATGCTCCTTGAACATGAGTAGGATTTTTGTGGCTATATTTCCATTATTTTTTCTGGCGTAATAGTATCCGAGATGATGGCTAATGGTTATGTTCACAATTGGGCATGAGAAGTGGTAAAAAAATTCAATATCATTCATGTTATAATATGAATTTAATCATATTCACCCGTTTCCACATATTGTAGGAAACATATTTTCTTATATATTTAAAATGTCAGGAAAAAATTATAATAATGTAGAGAGACAAGATTTGTAGGAAACATGCCAACTTAGCTAACATGGTGATGTTTCTTAAACCATGATTTGATAACATTTTAATTCTTAAACCATGATTTGATTAACATTTAATTGTTAATTTGATTATTTATTTATGTAATGTAGTATTGTCAGTAGATAAGCTTACATCAAAACATTTATGAGTCTTCATGCAACTCATATGATTTTTTTTTGGAAAAAAATTGGATAAGATTATATTTTATATGATAAGGTAATTAATTAGATAGTGATATGAAATTAAATTCAAATAATATATGGTTGATTGATTAGTATTTATATAATACTCAACAAGGTTGACAATAATCACAATATATGTGGGCATGGATTTAAAATTTGAATTCTTAAAATATATTGAATATCATCAAAATGTTGTTTTCTATCCCTAAAATATACTATACTATAAGATTATTTAAATTACTGTAAATGGTATTTTAGTTACATATAATATGATCGTACTGTGAATAATATTATTTCCTTACTGATTTAAAGTATGGATCTTCTATTAATTAATTTTGTAATTACCGATAACCCCTAATATTGGCAAGTTTAATGATGTCTACTGGGTCCGGTTCCACAAGTTACCAATAGTACATACCTAACAAGTGAGAGAAAAAGAGAAAGAGCGTATAAAAAACGGCCTCCAAGGCACGAGTGGGCGCAGAGAACAACGGGAATCTGAAACACGTGTAATGATCACATGGGTGCCGGTGGGGGCCGTTTCCTCAAATAGCCAGCATCAGTACTAGTACTTCAAGTAGTAAACAGCTCATGGTTATTGCTAAATGAACTACAGAAGTGGGACTTGGTCCACGTGTAATGATCACGTGGTCTCAGTTCCAGCTGCGGGCCTTCTACCTGCCGTTTGTTTCTCATAAAAAAGCGAGACGGGGTGGGCCACGTTCAGTAATAGAACGTCACGTCGTATATATTTGTTTTATTTTTATTTTTATGGTGGAAAAAAGAGGGAATTTGTGAGGATTAGAAGTTGGAAGCCGTTAGAACGCCGTTAACTTGTTGTTGCTTTTTTTTAAATATTGGGATTCTGACTGACGGGTTGAGTGGCTGAGGTTGACGGCCGGTTCGTATTGTCAATTAGTCTCCCTCGTGTAGGGCAGACCTGACATTTGATTAATCATACTAAAATTATCCACGCGCCACGTGCACGCACTTGCTTTCAAGACGATTTTATTTTTGTAATTCTATTTTCTCTTCCACAAAATTTGATTAATAAAAGCCCACATGTGATTTTAGTTTATCCTCGACGTATTTTAAAAGTTTAATATTTTTTAAATCAAAAAATATTTTAATTTATATATATTTCTTAAAATATCTCTTAAAAAAAATAAAAAATTGACCATAAATATGTGGGCTTTTCAACCATTTGCATTCAATCTTTGACCCCTAGCCATTGAGGCTAAATCTTTGGAATTTGGGATGGGGATGACCTACAATTTGTGGTTTCTCTTTATGGGATTGTTTCTTTAATTATTAGGGTTTTTTATGAATAATTTTATGTATTTATTGATGTAAGAAATCAATCTCACGACAAGTATTCATCAATTGTCTTTCTTATGTTCAATACATTCTTTAATTTGATTCTACCTTAAAAAGGAAAATAAATAGTTGATTTTTTTTTTTTTTTTGGGGATAACCTGGGTATTCGACACAGTTTGTACATGCTTCAACTAATCTCGAGGGTTTATTGAACATTCTACAAGCCTAAAAAATCAGATAATTAATTACAATATTATTGTGCTAGGTGGTCCCAAGGATCAAGATTTGAACCCAAAAATTCAAAGAAAAAAGCAAACCTCGTTGACTATCATACTAATCCCTGGGTTTAATTAATGTTCTTTACAACAATTGATTATTCAATTAGTTTATAAGAAGAGAACCCATTCCGTGATTGATGGTAAAACCATAAATCCATAGATAAAACACAAACTGCTCCAATTTCACATGAAAGTTCATCCTACCACAATCAATTTTATCACAAACCTATTCTCTTCAAATTAAACCCTAGTTTGCCACACTAGATTTAACACCATTATTCTTAACCAACTAAAAATTAACAAAAATCTTCGATGAACGAACGCATACTTAATAACACGGTCTATCAATTAAGACTAGATGGATGTATCTATGATCCAATGCCCAATGTGCATGTGCTCTATGATTTTCAATGAGACGAGTGTACGTATATATGTCAAACCATAACATGCCACAATGCATAAATGTGCACGTGTCTAACATCCACATGCTCTGTGATTTTTAGTGAAATTAGTGTAAATATATTTATCTAACCATGACATATTAACATGTATGATATGTATTTAATGACGGGATAGATGCATATGTATCTGTCTTATTAAAACATGTTTTAAATTAGAAAAAAAGAAGAATATGCATATACATTAACCAAATCCAAGCACGTCATGTCAACATGCATGAAATATACATGCTTTGTGGTTTTTGGTGAGATTGGTGTACGTACATCTGTCCAACCATGACATTCTAACGTGCAAGATATATATATTCAATGATGGATAGATGAATATGTATCTGTCTCATTAAAAATGTTCTAAAATTAAAAAAAAATGATGCATATGCATTCATCTAATACGAACGAAACCACATCAATATACATGCGTTCAATGATGGGATAAATGTATATGTACTCATCAAATAAAATTATATAAAAAAAAAGAAAAAAAAGAAGCAGAAATCAGCATAATCAGAGAGGCAAAGAGTGAAGTAATCTTAGAAATAAATGAAAAGAAATCAAATCAAAGTAATTAAAAAGAAAAGTAAAATACCACAAAAGTGGAGCAGTAAATGAATTTGGAAGGTCTGTTCCAAACCAAAAGTAATTAAAAAGAAAAGTAAATGATTTTGTAGCCTTCAAAGTTCAAACCAAAAGTAAATAAATAAATAAACAAAAAATTATTTATTATAATTTTTGCATCTTTATCAGTCCAGCTGAACTGAGTATAGTTGTTCTCACTTCCCATTTCTCATTTCTCATTTCTTAAACTCTAATCTCCCTCTCTGTCCTTCATTGAAGCTCGCGCCCCCATCACGAGCCTCCTCATCTCAACTCAAATCCACTATTTCTTCGCTTTTAGCTTTTCTTTCATCTTCATTCACTCAAAATTCGAACCTAGCACCCCCCCAATGCCCAGATTCTTTTTCTTCAATCTCAGAACAACCTAAGCAGATATCTTCATTTTCGTTTCGTTTTTACTTCCATCATGAAGAGGGAGCATAACCAACTCGACCCACCAGCCAATTCGGCGCCCGACGCTGGAAAAGCCAAGATGTGGGAGGACGATGCAGCGGCGGCTGCGGATGGAGGGATGGATGAGCTGTTGGCGGTTTTGGGTTACAACGTGAAGTCTTCAGACATGGCGGAGGTTGCCCAGAAACTTGAACAGCTTGAAGAAGCTATGTGTAGTGTTCAAGTTGATGGGTTTTCTCAACTCGCTTCGGATTCGGTTCATTATGACCCGTCGAATTTGTCCACGTGGCTCGAAGGGATGCTCTCCGAGTTCAACCCGGACCCGTCCACAATCACTTCTATCGATTTCCCGAATCAGCGACGGATTTTTGAAGAAGCTTGTACTTCCGATTACGATCTCAAAGCGATTCCCGGTAAGGCCATGTATAATGACAATACTGCCTCGTCCATTTCCACGACCAGAGATCCCAAACGCTTGAAGACTGAGATGTACCAACCCGAGTCAACTCGTCCCGTCATCCTGGCTGACTCACAGGAGAACGGAATTCGTCTCGTTCACGCTTTAATGGCGTGCGCGGAAGCCGTTCAGCAAAACAACCTCACTATCGCTGAAGCCTTCGTTAAGAATATTCGGTATTTGGCGATTTCTCAAGCCGGCGCGATGGGGAAAGTCGCCACGTGCTTCGCGGATGCCGTTGCGGGTCGAATCTACGGGCACTACCCGCAGAACCCGATCGATCATAACTTCGCGGATCTTCTCGAAATGCACTTCTATGAAACTTGCCCGTATTTGAAATTCGCTCATTTCACTGCGAATCAAGCCATTCTTGAAGCGTTTGAAGGTAAAAAACGAGTTCATGTAATTGATTTCTCTATGAATCAAGGTATGCAGTGGCCGGCTTTAATGCAGGCTTTGGCGTTGCGGCCCGGCGGGGCGCCCAAGTTTCGACTCACCGGGATTGGCCCGCCGGCCCCGGATAACTCGGACCATTTACAAGAAGTTGGCTGGAAGTTGGCCCAGTTGGCGGAAACCATTCAAGTTCAGTTTGAGTACAGAGGTTTTGTTGCTAAAAGTTTGGCCGATCTTGATGCCTCCATGTTGGACCTCAGACCGAGTGAGGTTGACTCGGTTGCTGTCAACTCAGTCTTCGAGTTACACAAACTCTTGGCCCGGCCCGGTGCTATTGATAAAGTACTTTCGGTGGTGAAAAATGTTAAGCCGGATATCCTCACCGTTGTTGAGCAAGAAGCGAATCATAATGGTCCGGTTTTCTTCGACCGGTTCACTGAGGCGTTGCATTATTATTCCACCATGTTTGACTCGTTGGAGGGCTCAGTGAGTGGCCCGGAGAAGGCCATGTCCGAGTTGTACCTGCAGAAGCAGATTTACGATGTCGTGGCTTACGAAGGAGTTGACCGAGTCGAGCGCCACGAGACGCTGGCTCAGTGGCGAACCCGGTTCGGCTCGTCCGGGTTTCTCCCTGTTCACCTGGGCTCGAACGCGTTCAAACAAGCCAGTATGTTGCTGGCGTTGTTCGCCGGCGGAGAGGGGTACCGAGTGGAGGAGAATAACGGTTGCTTGATGTTGGGTTGGTACACGAGGCCGCTCATTGGCACCTCGGCTTGGAAACTCGCCAACAAACCTGTTAGGTTTCACTGAGTCTCTCTGAGTTGACTCGCTAGTAGTGTATCAAAAAATTTGCTGTGAATGTGCTAATCTGAGCTGGGTTCCCATGAATGAGACCCACCACCGTCTCATTCTTTTTTTTTCCCCCCCGTAAATTTCTTGCCATTATTTTTAATTTAATTTTCTGTTTTTAGGTATTTTTCTTTATTTTTAGGTCGAGAATATTTGTAGGAAACATGCCAACTTAGCTAACATGGTGATGTTCTTAAACCATGTTTGATAACATTTTAATTCTAAACCATGATTTGATTACATTAATTGTTTAATTTGATTATTATTTAGTAATGTAGTATTGTCAGTAGATAAGCTTACATCAAAACATTTAGTCTTCATGAACTCATATGATTTTTTTTTTGGAAAAAAAAAAATTGGATAAGATTATATTTTATATGATAAGGAATTATTAGATAGTGATATGAAATTAAATCAAATAATATGGTTGATTGATTATTATTTATTAATACTCAACAGGTTGACAATATATATGGGCATGGATTTAAAATTTGAATTCTAAAATATATTGAATATCATCAAAATGTTTTTTTCTATCCCTAAAATATACTATACATAAGATTATTTAAATGACTTAAATGGTTTTTTTATATTCCGTTTTTATTTAAGTATGGATCTTCCATTAATTAATTTTGTAATTGTAATTACCGATAACCCCTAATATTGGCAAGTTATGATGTTACGGTCCGGTTCCCAAGTTACCAATAGTCAACCTAACAAGTGAGAGAAAAGAGAAAGAGCGTATAAAAAACGGCCTCCAAGGCACGAGTGGGCGCAGAGACAACGGGAATCTGAAACACGTGTAATGATCACATGGGTGCCGGTGGGGGCCGTTCCTCAAATAGCCGCATCAGTACTAGTCTTCAAGGTTCAAGTAAACAGCTCATGGTTATTGCTAAATGAACTACAGAAGTGGGACTTGGTCCAGTGTAATGATCACGTGGTCTCAGTTCCAGCTGCGGCCTTCTCCTGCCGTTTGTTTCTCATAAAAAGCGAGACGGGGTGGGCCACTTCAGTAATAGAACGTCACGTCGATATATTTTGTTTTATTTATTTTTATGGTGGAAAAAAGAGGGAATTTGTGAGGATTAGAAGTTGGAACCGTTAAAACGCCGTTAACTTCTTGTTGCTTTTTTAAAATATTGGGATTCTGACTGACGGGTTGAGTGGCTGAGGTTGACGGCCGGTTCGTATTGTCAATAGTCTCCCTCGGGTAGGCAGACCTGACATTGATTAATCATACTAAATATTATCCACGCGCCCATGCACGCACATGCTTTCAAGCGATTTTATTTTTGTAATTCTATTTTCTCTTCCACAAAATTTGATGAATAAAAGCCACATGTGATTTTGTTTATCCTCAACTATTTTAAAATTTAGTATTTTTTAAATCAAAAAAATTATTTATTATATTTTTCTTAAATTCTCAGCCTTGGATCAAGCATTAGTTACATGTTTGTATCATTACCCTCATGCGAATGCTGATAACAAAATGTATTAATTGCCTAATTAGAAATATTCTCAAAGGCAAAGACTGCAAACACCATTAGCCAACAATCTGAAGAAGAAATCATAGACCTTTACAAGCTTAAAAAAAAAAAAAAAAAAAAAAAATGACCATAAATAGGGTTTTCACCATTGCATTCTCTTGACCTCTAGCCATTGAGGCTAAATCTTGGAATTTGGGATGAGGATACCACATTTGTGGTTCTCTTAGAAAATGTATCTTTACAACTCAGTGACATCATCCAGAGAAAAAATAAAAAAAACAGAAATGAGAAAATGAGAGAGAGAGAATCATAAAAACAAGGATGGAGATTTCTTTGTAAACTAGCATGCTCTTCTCTTATGAGATTGTTCTTTATTTGGGTTTTTTTTTTTTTTTTGTGAATAATTTTATGTATTTATTGATAAAACAATCATCACGACAAGTATCATCAATTGTCTTTCTTATGTTCAATACTTCTTTATTTGATTCTACCTTAAAAAGGAAAATAAATAGTTGTTTTTTTTTTTTTTTTTGGGATAACCTGGATTCGACACAGTTTGTACATGCTTCAACTAATCTCAGGGTTATTGAACATTCTACAAGCCTAAAACAGATAATTTAATTACAATATTATTGTGTAGGTGGTCCCAAGATCAAGATTGAACACAAAATCAAAGAAAAAAGCAAACCTCGTTGACTATCATACTAATCCTGGGTTATTATGTTCTTACAACAATGATTATTCAATTAGTTTAAGAAGAGAACCCTTCCGTGATTGATGGTAAAACCATAAATCCATAGATAAAACACAAACTGCTCCAATTTCACATGAAAGTTCATCCTACCACAATCAATTTTATCACAAACCTATTCTCTTCAAATAAACCCTAGTTTGCCACACTAGATTTAACACCATTATCTTAACCAATAAAAATACAAAATCTTCGATGAACGAACGCATACTTAATACACGGTCTATCAATTAAGACTAGATGGATGTATCTATGATCCAATGCCCAATGTGCATGTGCTCTATGATTTCATGAGACGAGTGTACGTATATATGTCAAACCATAACATGCCACAATGCATAATGTGCACGTGTCTACATCCACGCTCTGTGATTTTTAGTGAAATTAGTGTAAATATATTTATCTAACCATGACATATTAACATGTATGATATGTATTTAATGAGGATAGATGCATATGTATCTGTCTTATTAAAACATGTTCTAAATTAGAAAAAAGAAGAAGTGCATATACATTAATCAAATCCAAGCACTGTCGTGATACTGAAATATACATGCTTCGTGTTTTTGGTGAGATCGGTGTAGTATATCTATCCAACATGACATTCTAACATGTCGATATATATATTTATTGATGGATAGGTGAATAGTATCAGTCTCATTAAAAATATTCTAAAATTAGTATAATTTTCCTTTATATGTAAAAAAAAATCTGTAAAATTAAAAGAGGAATTTAGGGTTCATGGATATTTGAGAATTAAACAATTTTAGTCTAATGTTTCGCTATTTAACAATGTTAATCTCAATTAATTAATTATAATTTTCATTCAAATTCTATTTTTCTCCTAGAGCTGAAACATTGCATTAAATATATTTTCTTTTTAGTTATATAATTATATTTTGTAAGAAATATTATTAATTTATGAATATAATAAAAACAACTCAAGTCAAACTGAGTAAATATTTTTTTTTTCTCTTGGATTAATCCCGTCTCTATTTATTTACTTTCGAGTTCACTCCACAAAATTATTGCTTTGAATTAAATAGTTATATATTTATGTTCAACTTTCATATTATCATTTTATCATTAAAAAAAAAAAATGTATTAAGTGATTTTTTTTTTTTTTAATGATTGGATGCATTCGAGTCAATTTACGCACACCTCATCAAATTCTTCAAAATCTTCTGAGTAATACACTTAATGATCCCTATCAAACTACTCGACCATTTAAAGATAAGAAACACTGTAAAAAATCTCCACGTGTGTTAAAAAGTGCACCGATTAATTAATTAATTGACTAAGTTCATTAACAACATCATTGTGTTCAATCTATTTTTTGAAATAGTTACAACATTGTAATAATGAATTTGATACATTTTCAATTTATGATCTAAATGAAAAGTTGACGTCAATTTTACTAGAGAAACTTATATATGAGAATCTCAATCATCTCATTTGGTTAATATGATAAAATCATTTAATAAAATAATATCATTTTATTATTTTCATTTTGTTTTATATAAATTGTCAATGTGATTTATAAATAAATATATTGGTTCATTGATAATTATCATGTATTTTTTTTTTATCGATGTTAATTTGACAATAATCATCATTTATCGTTCATTAATGATTATTATAAATATCATTTTATTATCGGACGGTTTCATTATATTAATAAAGTTAAATATCGGGGTTGTCTCATTAAGTACTGTTTCATGGGTTTCTAGATTATTATTTCTTTTGTAGTCGGTAACTTATGATTAAGTGGGATTAATTATGGTTAAGGGAGAATGTTTAATGTGAAAGGTCTCCTAATGCTTTCATTTCAAGAATTCTTTACGACTTTAATTTTGTTAGTGTTGTCTAATCTTAATTATCTTTACTTAATGCATCTAGAGTTGGGTTGTCAAACAAAATTATAGCTCCCAAAAATATTAAAATGCTTCTAAAAATGACCTTTAATGTGGTCTTGCTTTATTTCATCTTTTTATCATTTTTTTTAAGGAAAAAAGAATTGCTTTGGAGGAACCTTTTCTTATCTAGTATTTTTTATTTGGATTAAATGTATATAGCAGAAAATAAGTAAAAAAAAAATAAGAAAAATATATTTGTATCATTTCATTAGTCTAATCAGCAGTCACTGAATTTACCAAGACTTTTTATTATTTATGATTATTATTATAACATCTTTTTTTTTTTAATTGTACTATTATTTTAATTTTATATTTTATCTTTAATTTAGGGTTTTTATTTTTGTTTAGGGGGCAAACATGTCAGCTTTTAGCTTTGAGGTGTTCGAGAAATATCTTGGAAGATGACTCATCAAGGCCTAGGTCCCACTGCCATCAAGGAGACCACACTGTTTATTAAGAAAAAAGGAAAGTGCTAGATCATTCAGCGCGTGACTTCACGCTTCGTTCACCGAGAACACGGCGTACCTTTTGGCATGATGCTCACTTTTATGGTTCAGTGCACAGTTTATCAGTGCCAGCCTGTCTCATCACCTTAACGATATGAAAACGCACCGGCCAAAGAGCGCGTACACTGTCGCCCTTCTGTGGTTGTTAATTTTTCTATTTTAGACATTGAATTTTGTGTCAAAAATAGGAGGGAAATGGAGAAAAATGAAGAGATAAGTATAACTTTCAATACATATAAAATTAGTGATAAGACAAAAAAATAAAAATTAGTTTATTTTAAAATAATCGGTAACTTAGCATTAAATAGAAAATGCTATCTCAGTTTATAGAAAATAACTTCTATATTTTTCTTCCAGATGTTTTAATTAATCTTTTCATATTTAGAACTGTTGGTCAAATAAGAATACAAATGGTTACTTTTAATAATATTTGAAAGAATTTAAATTTAAGAACTCATAAAT